CAACTGGCTTAAGCACAAAGGGAATTGGCTTGCTAATGAAAAGTTCTTGGGGAATATGGGTCCCTGGCTCTAGGCATAATGTGATGCAGAAACTCAAAGTCAGCCTTTCTCAGCTCAGTTCCATTAGTCTTTTTCATGTGTTGGTTTCATTCCCAGATTTGTTTTCTCCTCCTAGCTGTGTGACAACTGTAGCCACTTCCAGCCTCTCCCTTTAAGTTCAACAGGAGTAGTTAAGACTTCTGGTCATTCAGGCAACTGCCCAGGATGAGCTCTGATTGGGCCTAACTCGCCAGCTGAGTCCCATGCCCAGCCCCGAGTCAACTGCAGGGCTCAGGACCATGAGATGGGCAGGTTGGCTCAAGCCTTTGTCCCTGTTCCTCCTCAGGATGGAAGTCAGAGATGTATGGTTACTGGAAGAGGAATGGATGCTAGGGGCAATGACAACCACATGTGTACTCTATGGACCCCCGTGTCCATGGGGAGCTAATGTGGGATGGCGGCCGTAGTTAAGGAGTTCAATAAATAATCCGGGGCCAACTGGATACCTGTTTGGAAAAAAAATTATATTCTCTATCTCATGTCATTCATAAAAAAATTATCCCAGATGAATTAAAGCACTAAACATAAAAGACAAGACCGTACATAGGAAAATAGATACACAAGCTTGGGTAGGGAAGATTCGCTTACACAAGACATAAAATACGAAATGCGTAAGTTTGACTTCATATCTTACAGTTTCACTATGACAAAATACACTCTAAAAAAGTTACTAGACAAGAAAAACTGGGAGAAAGAATTGGCTATATATCTATCTGTATCTTTAAATGAAACAGGTTGTATTAAAAATGTATGCCAGTTAATTTAAAAAGAGACAACCCAGTAGAAAAATAAGCAAATGCATGAGAGAAAATCCAAATGGCCAAAAGAATATGAGAAGATGTTCCACCTCATTATTAATTGGAAAAGTCATATTAAGATAAAAATAAAAGATTTTTTAAATCAGATTGGCAAAAATTAAAGACTGGTGTCCTCAAATGTTGGGATGGGAATGGGGAAATGGGTGTTTTCATAAACTATTGCTGTTTAATTCAGCCCAGAAGATGGCCTGATTTAGTTTAAAAAAAAAATTATTTTTGGACAGCGTAGACCCACCGTCACATAGGGTTTGTTCATGGGTGATGTGGGTGGATGGTAGGAAAAGGAAAGCATAAGCTAAGACGGAGTGCAAAGCGAAACTTGGAAGGTCCATGTCATAGATAATCTATTAGTGTGACTCACAGGAAACAAGCATTTCTTGTGGGTGTTGAGGGGAACCTCTTGAAAATACATAAGGGTTTGAACAGCATTGAGTCCGAGGACCACAAGACCTTGAGGGATGGCTTTCAAAGTAGTCATGCTTTCCTGTCGCCCCTCCCCAGCTCACCTCAGCTAGGGTACTTTTCCAGAAGAACTGATATTTCTCTCCTCCATCATGGAAAATGTCAGAGAGGATTCTGGTATTCAAAGTTGGCTCCAACAGCCACCTCTGAAATGAGCAATGGCTTGGAATCACCCTCTGGGTCTCAGCGTCCCCATCTGTCAATGGGGATCATAATACTTACCTTGTAGTATTGTTGGAATTTTTTGGATGCAATGATGACTGTAAAACAAAGCCAAGTCTGACAAAGTAAGTACTCTAATAAAGAACATAATAAAATAAGCAAAGGCCATTGATCTGTTAAGGGAACAGCTGCAGTATAGACTGAGGGCACAGGAATGCAGAGGACAGGCTCTAAGGGAACATATGTGTCTGATATTTTAAAACTAACAATAATGCAACATATGAGAAATAAAGTGTTACCATCTTTGCAAATCAATAAGAAAAAGGCAAAAGCCCCCAAGAAAAAGCCAGCAAAGGATACAATCATAAAAGAGAAAATGGCCAATAAACATAAAAAAACGTTCAGCCCTCACTATTAGTTTAAAAGAAATATAAAATTAAGTAAGTATGAGATTTCATTTTGAACCACCGAACTGGCAAGAACTTTTAAAAAAATGTAATAGGCAGCCTGGCCTCAGTTGGGAAACAGTGTGCTCATTAACACTTTGAGGCTGTAAAACAGGGCATTTCTGCAGAATAAAGGTGCATCTCAAAAACTTTTAAAATGGGCATTCCCTTTATTTAGGAAATAACCAGGGTTTTGCACCCCCAAACACAGATTGGAAGGTATCACTCCAGCTCACTATAAACTGCCCCCTACCTTGTCCTCCCCATTCCCTACCCCCATGTCCACAGGGAAGGTTGAGCAACAATTTCCTGCTCCTCTGGCCACCAACCTCAGGATCAGTGGCCCGCACTTGAGATGGGAGGGCAGGGGAGTGCAAGACAGAGAAAGACAACTTCCTCTGGCCGGACTGTAACATACGAAGTTGGAAACCGTGGTGCTCCTTTTCCCCAAGCAGTGTCAGAGAAGGTTGACCTTCACCAGAAAGGACACAGCAGCTGCCCAGACAGGCGGACACAAAAGTGAGGGTGTGTTTTTCAGGTCCTCAGAACAGCAGACACCAAGATGGGATTAGAGGTGCAGATTTATTTGGGGAACCTTCTGGGAAGGGTAAAGGAGGAAGCAGAAGGCAGGTAGGGCCTTTGGACCATGGTGTGAGTTCGACACCAAGAAAGGAGAGCAGGAAGGGACCCACACTGCCTGTGGGTCTGAGGAACTCTGGGCAGACCAACAGGGAGGCCCCACACGAGGCTGCTGGATGGAAGAGCCCTGGGATGGGCAGAAACCGCCCAGCTCTCTCAGCCCTAGGAACCCTGCCAAGCTCAGTCCTTGTCTGGGAGCAGTCTGACTGGGGAGAGTGAGGGAGGGAAGCGTGGCCTTGGCATGTGTTGGATCCGAAGGTGCAGTAGCTGGAGGTTGTGTCAATTGCTCTCCACAGCAGGCTCTCCTAAAGGGAGAGCAGAGCCGTGCACCCCCATGGGTGCCGCGGAGGGCTTCTGGGTTCCCTGGGCCGTCTTCCAGGTTCCAGCCCTGGTCTTCCCCAGGCCCTGCTGAATCCCTACCAAGGCTCTCATGAGATTCTTCCACTGACCCTATTTTTACAATCCCGTTATTTGCTTGAGGTAGCTGGGGCTGTTTTCAATAATATGCAATCCCAGTTCTATTACCTGCACAAAGATTTGTGTTTGATGATGTCCTCTGAGGTACTGTTTATAAATTTTAACATTAAAAATAACCCACATGTAAGGTTGTATATCTTGACAGGAGTTTTGGTTACACAGATGCATACATTTGTAAAAATTCATCAAATGGTGCACTTCAGATTTGTGTGTATTTCGGACAAGATGTGTGGGTGAGTGCTTGGAGAGAGACTTTGCAAAATTGGTTAAAACTGATTGTGTGCCTTCTGTGTCAGGTGCTATTCTTAAGTTTTGACACATATTCACTTGTTCTTCAGAGGTTTCAGGTGCCATTGACCAGAGCAGCTCCTGAAATGTGAGCCAGTACTGACCATGTCACTGCTAGATGCTCTCCACCAGCTGGAGCAGGCCTGGGGAGCTTGGGGGACATACCTGTGAACTTCCGCCCATTCCTGTGTAGCCCCATCCAGACCCCCTAACCCCAGACAAAGAAGCGAGAGCTGCCACACCCACTCACATGCACAGCCTAGTGCACACATCTCTACACCTGAATTCAGAAACCACAGGCAGCATTCTAGGACTCTGCTGGGCTGGGAAATAACTCTGGGAGGCCTTCCCTCCCAGCCTGGGGAGATGACCCACTCTAGTGCAGTGGGGGCTCTGGGTTCCATTCTGACCACCACCAACTGACCTCATAACTACGTCCCACAGGGCCTTGTTCCTCTAATCCTGGAAGAGCTTGGGTAGAACCCTGGGGTCAGTGCTCTGTCTCCCTCCCCACTTCCTCTTTTCACACCAATCTCTCAATACAAGACTCTTCAAGCGTGTAGGGCAGGGGTCAGAAAACTTTTGAGAGGAAGAGCCAATCCTGTCCCTCACAATTTAAAAATTATTCAAGGGCCGGCAGAGTGGCGCATTGGTTAAGAGCTGGCTTGGGATGCCAGAGGGCCCCGGTTCGGATCCCACATACAAGGGCCAGTGAAACTGCCCTCTGCAGCTAAGATGCTGAACAACAGCTCGACCTGGAGCTGGGCTGCTGTGAGTCACTGGTGACGGCAGGTGGGTTGCCATGGGCTACCACGTGTAGCCAGCAGCCAGCGTAAGCAGTGTCCAGAAGCTGGTGACTGATCTGCCTCGCCCGGGAAGAGCGCAATGATGGTGCCAACTTGGGCCAGTGAAACAACGTCTTCCACAACTAGACTGAAGAACAAAACGACAGCAACTTGTCTGTTCCCCTTCCCCCAATTCAATCCCCAGTGCTGTTCCCATCCCCCAATGCCCCATAAAATCTTTAAAAAAAAACAAAAATAAAAAAAATAAAAATTATTCAAGAGCCATAAAACAAATCACCATTATGTGAATAATATCCTTTAAAAATTTTATAAATGAAACTATGATAGCTTTATTTTCATTTTCAATTTTACTTCAGAGCCATATGTACATACCCAAAGAGCCGCAGTTGGCCGACCCCTGGTCTAGGGGCCTGAAGGAACCAAGAGGTGCCTGAGGGGCCTGAGGGGTGGAGAGGGGCGAAAGGAGGAAACTGAGGCTGAGGTCCACTCTCCTTCATAGCTACTGAAATTCCACCTTGTTTCATGTCTTAGATATAGCAGTCTTTCACATGTTAGTGTGAATTAGCCTGTTCTGATGCTTTCTTTCAGGAGGGGTTCAGCATGATAGCCCTGAGCATCCTGAGTGGCAGATGTGAGGAAGAAGAGAGATGCTGGGGAAAAAAATCTCCTTCTCTAAGAATGGGGACTGCTAAGGATAGGAGCTCTCGACTCACCCTGCCCACCCACACTTACTCTGAAACAGCAGGGACCCCAGCGTGCATCTATTAACGCCCGCCCCACACTAAAGACAATTAACAGCCAGGTGCACTTTACATTTAGCTGTTTTTAATGCTCAAAAGGTCTGTACAACAAAACAAAACAAAACAAATCACAAATGAATCCTCACAACACCCCTGTGAGGTAGGTAGGCAAGTATTATTCTCCCATTTTACAGATGGTAAAACTGAGGCAGAGAGGTGACGTAACTGGCCAGTGGTTCCAGCACAGTTTGAAAGTCAGAGCTGACTACGAGAATCCAAAGTCTATCTCCCAGTTCAGCTCCGATCTCTGACCCCCTCACCTAGACTTTGTCTGCAAAGAAATGAAAACTTTTAACACATGCAAAAATAATAAAAATGAAAACCAATGTGAAAAGGTAGTGAACAGGCATACAGTAGTTTTGCAAAAGAGTTCAGCTAAGATGGTCAAATAATTTCCAATACTAGGTAGCTATGAACAACGTCAGCCTCTTCTCCCCTTTTCAAATATGACTATGGACACATCCACTTGTTTTCCCACAGAAGAGCATGCACCCAACCAAAGAGAGGCCTCCCTGGCCCCAACAGGCCAACCCAGGTGGACTGCCTCCCCCGTGCAGCCCCTGGGTTTCAGCAGAGGAAACCCCTGCCTCCCCCATGCAGCCCCTGGGTTTCAGCAGAGGAAACCCCTGCCTCCCCCGTGCAGCCCCTGGGTTTCACCAGTTCCCAGAGCTGCAAGGCTCAACTTCTCCTGCCTCTTCCAGGCAGCTTTCCCACTGTCTGGACACAGCGGGTCCTGGAGGCCTCTAACTCAGCAGCATTCAGCCCCTTCTGCTCCCAATAGACGGCAGCTCAATGGTCCTCAGTAAGGATGATCTGGAATCCAGGTGACCCTCACACCATCTTCAGCCCACTCTCACACCCTCCACTGTTCCTTCAGGTCACCCAGCAACCCTGGGGGGGGCATCTTGGGCTGGTGGGCAGGGAGGAGGTGCAGAGGGACCCATAGCTGGGGGCTTTGGCTTCCTGAGCACCTCCCACCTGGGCTCCCAGGCAAATGGCGCTGGCCTCTTCCACAGGCCTGCACCCATCTTCTGGGCGCTCTCCTTCCCCTGAAAGGGCTCCCTGATGTTTCCAGCTGTTTCCAGCTCCTTAGAAAACTCCACGGTCCTGCCAGCCCCAGGGGAGGGGTAAGGGGGAAGGACGGAAAGGTAGAGGACTCCACGGGACCTACCAGGCCATGTGGTCGTCCTTCTTGAAGTCTCCAGGTTGGAGATGGGGCATGAAAGGCAAGGAAACTGAGTACAGCTGCCTTTAAAGTAACGAATCCACCCAGAGTGCTGTCCACTCCCCAGGGAGACGGGGCCCCAAGGTACTACTCAGGCAGCTGAAGTGGAGAAGCCGAGAGGGAGAGCAGAGAAAGAATGAAAGAGAAGGAGATCAACACTGGCCGGCTGCTCTGCACCTGGGGCTTGTCAGACACTCTGAGAGGGGACCCGAAGAAGAGGATGGAAGTACAAGCAGCAAGTAGCTTTGTCTGGAACTTGGGAAGTGAGCTCCTTGGAGGGCTGAGGCCAGCGCTGTCTGCAAGGCATACATACGGGGCCCTCTTGGGCACTGGCCACATGCCTGTCATTTACAAGGTATGACTGTGTATGAACTGTTCTATAAAAAGCTCTTTCAAAAAAGGGGTCTCAACCCAACCCCAAGTTTCTCTGGGAAGCTGGGGGACCACTTCCTCAGGGCCATCTCAGTGAAGAGCACCTTGGGTGCCCCCAGACTTTGTGAGGCCCTGTGGCAAGGGGCAGGGGCAGGGACAGCACATCCTACAGGAAGTCCCCAGCAGCGAAGGGCTCCAGGCTGTGGCTCTGCTCCTGCCACCGGCAGCGCAGACTTGAGAAAGGCTGGTTCTCCATACTCTCGAGCTCGGGGAAGCCCAGCTGGTTGAGGATCTCATAGACTCCGGCCTTTGACGCCACCTGGGGAGGACAGCAGAGATGGGGGCAACATTCCAGGGGAGGGAGGGTGTCATTTGGGTTACACTGCCACCCCCCCCACCCCCATCATCATGCCAACCTTCCCTCCCTGGGCTCCAAAGCACACAGGTGAGTCTGGGGCCCAGCACTGCCTCCTATCAGTTCAACAACCTGAACAAGTTTGCATTTTAACTGCTATTAACTACTCTGAGCTTCAATTTCCTTATAATGGGGTTAACAGTCTCTGCCGCCCAGGACCATAGTAGAGGGGTACATAAGCAGCAAAAGCACTTAGCAGATGGAGAGCAGCACAGGAGGCCATGTACACCCCGTGCTGAGTATCCCTGATGCTCCTACAGGGACACTCAGGGGCACAGGGTCTGGGCATTACAACCGGGCCCGCAGGGAGGGCTGAGGCAGGCCGTGTGGACTCCGGAGCCAGCAAGAGCCCTCTGGCTGTGAGTTCTGGCTGTGGGCCTCCACTCAGGCAGGTTAGCTGGGGCCTCCCTGGACACCCTCCAGGCAGCCTTGCTGCCCAGTGGCCTGGGCTCTGGCACTAGGCCCAAACCATCCAACAAGCAGCCCCCTTCTCACCTCACCGTCCTGGGGGGTGGGGAGGATAGAGGATCCACTCAGAACAAAAGTCCCCGGGCAGCCCTCACCCCCACCTGCCATTCATCCCCAGGAGAGAGGGGCCCTGAGGCTGGAACCCACACCCCTAAATGGACCAGCAGTTCTCTCCTTCCTTGACCTCCCCCAACACACACCACCCAGGTTCAGCTGGGGAGGGGCTCAAGCTCCGCCCCCGCCCTTGGCTCCGGATTTCTATTCTCCAAGCAGAGCTGAAGCAGAAAAGTCCCCACCACCTCCACCCTACCCAGGGGCTCAAAGAGAAAGCTGAGCCCAGGCCTGTTCGAGAGGGTCGCCCCGATGTGGCCTTGGTGTGACCCACCCCCACCAGGTCCCCTGACTCAACACTCACCCCCACGAGGGCCATGCTCGAGGCTTGTCTTCAGCACAACCACACGGCAGCCATCATTCCTGACACTGGGCACTGCACTGGCCTCCCTGCCTCCATTCCCTCGCAGCCCTGGGCCCATCCACACACCTGCCTAAGCCCATACCGTTCCCTCACCCACTCGGGCTGGGGTCTCTGTTAGCTCCCCACACGCCCTGTCTCCTCCCTCCTGATTCATTCACTCATCAAACTTTTACTGACCACCTGCCCAGCACAGACTGTGCTAGGCACCCAAGCTCAAACAAGACAAAAATCTCGGTCAAATGGAAGAGGGAACACTTCCCGCTCAATGGGGAGCCTGTCACTGGGGTCCGTGCAGCAGATGCTCAGGGTGGCCTCAGCCCCCTGCCTCTCACCTCCCGCATCCAGGTGCTGAAGTGCCTCTGCCAGGAGTCGGCCTTCTCCAGGTGGAGGTAAGCGTTGAAGAGCACCAGGTACACGTAGCGCTCCAGGTACTGCAGGCTCCGCAGCTGCAGCCTCTGGGCCTCCTGCTCCGACTTGGCTGCCTTCGC